CTAGAAGTAGCCAAGGCTGGAAACTGAAACTAGAAGTAGCCAAGGCTTCTGTGTTAAGCTCTGCAGCCTCTGCTGAGCTCTGAGTCTGTCTATTGAAGATGAAACTAGTCTGCCTGCTTGCTGAAGACTGGGGCTTTGCTCTGAACTTGCAACGTGTTTCTGTCTGAGTTTGCTCCATGTTGGAGAAATCTACAACTGGTTTGTAAAATCTACTTATGTTTATATATATGTTAAATGAAGCATCAGCCCTCTGTGTTTGTTTTTCTTGTGCTGATCTATTGCTGCAAAACTCAATAGCAAGAGGTGGTCCATTGCTACGATCTCTCTGCCTCACTCATTTCCCTCTGGCTGATGAAGTGGCTTGGACAAAGTTGAACAAAGTTTGGTCCAAGTGTCCAGGATTCAAGTTTTAGTGAACCTTGGGGCTGGATGATTGAGTCTTCTTTAATTTATTTCTTTGGGTGTCGCTCTTTTAGCCCCCAAAATAAATTGTGTGTTATGAGGAGGGAGGGAATCACCAATTCCAAATGTGTTTTTTTGTTTTTCCTTCCCAGTTCACCAGAACTATGTCGGCATGGATGCGGAGAAGAACCCCTTTTTCTTATCCGTTGTGCTCTCTGACCAAAACAATCAGCGTGTCCCTCAATACCGAGCGATCCTCTGGAGGAAAACAGTAAGCGGCAGATGAAACTATGTGATCGGGCTTCGTTTTTGGGGGAGGAAAATAAGACAAAAACTTTTTTTTTGCCTCTGCCTACCAGCATCCATCGCTATTCATCAAGCTAGCATCCTGTCAGTGTGTGAGAGAGTTGAGGGCTTTTTGGAAATTGAAACAGTATTTGCTGTGTGAGCCAGAAGGAGACAGCAAGGAGCCTGGGCGTGGCTTAGCTCAACTGTTTTGTACTAAAGCTGCTTGGTGCTGTGAAACTGAAAGTGAAACTCTCCTCTGCTTGTGTTTTGCATTTGGAATGGATTTCTTTTCCGGTGTGGAGGGGGAGCAGAACTCCTTGGCATCAGAGCGTGTTAATAATAATAATAATAATATAGGAAATACTCTAAATGTTCCGATGGTCATTTAGAAAAATAATCCTTTCTTAGTGAGCCCCTAGAAGCCAAGAGGAACCTACGTGCCAAATTTCAAGATTGTAGGCTTTACGGTTCTGGAGATTTTGTGATGATGCGTGAGGGGCATTTCGCGTTTATATGGGGAGATATGAAAATATATACATAAACTGTTAAAAAAAATAACAATTCTCAAGTCCACCTGATATCTGACAGACCTCTGTGTTAACACAATTCTCTTACAGGGTACCCAGAAAATTTGCCTCCCTTATAGCCCGACGAAAACCTTGTCTGTAAAATCCATTTTAAGGTAAGGAAGAACCACCCACCCCCTGCCTTCCCCAGTTGTTTTGCACGAGGATCTGAGGTCTCCCTTCCTTGCTTGCTTTACAGTGCCATGAATCTTGACAAATTTGAGAAAGGGCCTCGGGAGATCTTTCACCCGGAAATTCAAAAGGTATCTTCATTTATTCATTCATTCAATTTGTTAAATGTCAAAGAGGGGCTATTCTACGTAACAGTTTTTGAGCCAAGTTGCACTGGCAAGGCAAGGTTTAAGTAACGTCTGTTTATTGCTCACTTATCACAGTGTCAAATAATTAGATTAGATTAACAGAGTCAGAAGGGACCTTGTAAATCATCTAGTCCAACCCCCGGAAAAAAAACCACACAGTTAAAAGGGAGGAATGAAAAGAAATGGAAACATAACATTATCGAAGTAATGAAATCATAATGATGAATGAGGGAAGAAACTAGGTGTTTTCAAACTGGGCACCTTTAAGACTTGTGGACTTGAATTCCCAGAATTCTTCATGCTAGCTGGGGAATTCTGGGAGTAGAAGATCCACAAGTCTTAAAGTTGCTAAGTTTGGAGAGCCCTGAAATAAATAAAGAAGGTACAGTAATAAATACAGATTTAACCATAAACCACCCAAACTGCTTTGAACTAGTGGGCAGTTTATTTTTATTTTTTAAAAAGTTCTAAATAAATAGGTCTGTTGTTTCTTATGAGGGAGGGGTGAAGATCTCAACATTCCAGGGAATTAGACTGTGTATTCTGTTTCTTTATGGCATTTACATGGCTGTCCATCTCAAATACACGACTTTGGATGATTAACAATGGCTAAAACGAGATCAGAGCAATCCCAAGTAATAAAGTATAGAAGCCATTAAAAAAAAAACAGCCAATAAGAATTGACACATCAAAAGACAAATCAAATCAATAAGGAGGAAACTACACCCCTGCTAACGCTGCTAGGGCAAGCTATTGTATATAAACAACCCCATTTCCCTTCTAGCGCTGATGATACCTGGTCGGGCAATGAAACCTCTGCAAGCAAACAACCAAGCTCAGAGATACTGTAGATAAACTGTATACAAACATCCCAAAATAAAGGAATATTAAAAAAATATTTCTCTTTTCTCTCTCTCCCTCTCTCTCGGTTATCCAGGATTTATTAGTCCTAGAAGAGCAAGAGGTAATCTGAAGGCCAATTTTTAAAATTTATTTTTATTGCTTTTAAAATAATGACCAAAAAATGGGGGGGGGGGGGAGGAAACCACCAAGATAATTATGATAAACATGCATACATTGTCAGAGAAAAGAGGGGAAAACACACGGGAAGTGCTTTTTTTTAAAGAAGTGGAAAAAATACAACAAAGGGGGGAAAAAGGAAAAATAGTATATCATTTTAACAGTAAATAGTTATAATTCCATATGTACTTATTTAATGCAAATATTCAAGCGTGTCTATATTTTAATACATTAATACAACTATCCCCTTTTAAACAGCAGTAAATGGGGCAAAACTCACTTAACAACTGTCTCATTTAGCAACATAAATTTTGGGCTCAATTGTTATAAGTAAAGAACTACCTGTAATGGAAACTTCGATGTAATCTTGTTCTCTGTCTCACAGGGCTCTGTCAATTTCAAGTTTGGAATTCTTTATGCCAAAGATGGACAGCTAACGGATGATGAAATGTTTAGCAACGGTAAGTGTGCGATTGGTTCACTCCCTCTTGCTGGGCGCAAAGAACCAGGCGCCTTAGTTGAGTTCAAAGCACATCCTGTCTATATCCAAGAATCTGGTCAACTAACGGTCAAAGCTAAATTGGCACTAGATAACAGTCAACAGGATTCACAGGAGGGCTGGACTTGGGTCTTTTGTGGCAATGCAATGATTCCAAACTGATGACACATTTAACTCCGCCTTCCAGCTCTGCCTACTCGTCTCCTATACCTCTGTTTTCACTGAGCAATGGAGACATCAACTCTTAGTAGAACAGTTGGTGCTGAGTTTAGGGTTGTTAGTGCCCTTTGCTGGCTAAAAAATAATGGAAAAGAGGTTGTGGAGAACACCAGGGTGAAATGACTGGTCTTAGATCAGGTGTGGCTAGCTGCCTGGCGGGGAAACAGACACACTTTCCCAGGCCTGCAAAGTAACTAAAGTGACGTTTTCTTCTCGTTCTTTGATATTCTGGCTACTGTAAGCAAAGCCTGTCCATAGTGGCTTCATGTTCACCATTGTTAACCAATGAGTTGTGCTGTCCATTGCCACCGATCTTTCTTGATCCATCTTTATTTTTTCCTTACGTTATTCCGCCAGGGGAAACACTGATGACACCACAACGACACTGGGCCCGATCTTGCCTATTTGACTTGCCTTTCCCCTCCCCACCCTGACCTCCCCCAATGAAATAAGACGAAGTTCCTACAAGCTTTTTTGTTTGATGCGGATCTGCTTTTGCCAGCAGCAAAAAATAAATTATCTTGCAGCTTCTTGGGAACATTGATTTTCTTGCAAATTGCATTTTTTAAAAAAAAAAAAAATCTCCCCATCAGCTGCTGGTACATTTCCGTCTTCTGCTAAAATGTTTGCCTGCATTTCACAATTTGTTTTCTCCTCCATGTCTCCCAACAGCAGCTAGAGATATTTCAGAATGTGCTTTTGGGACATTTCTGTGTTTATATGACTAAAAGCTCTGGCAACTCTTAACGCTGTGGTTATGTTTGCAAAGCCAGCTTGACATGTTTGTGTGCTCCGTCGCCAGAGGGATAACAAAATAAACCTTCATTTGCTTGGCTTCCTCATCCCGTCCCAACACTCTTTCCTTTGTTCTTGTCACCGAATAATCCTCCGTGTTTCCAGGAAGAGAATTTAGCCCGGCTTTTGGATGGATGCTGCTAATTGCTTTTAAATCCGTCTTCTGCCCTCTGCAGGTCTGGAACCGTTAGTATCCACCAGTTCAAGTTTTCCTCTCTTTTTTGTGTGACAGTGCTTGCTTTAACCACTTGGCTCTTTTGCCATATGTCCTTTCATCATAACCTGAGATTGTTGTATCCTTTTTTTTTTTTTGTTGGCAATCAAATCTATCTTTTGGCCTTCTCAGTAATCCAACACCATTTGTTGGGGAGGGTGTATGGTCTCTTGCTTGGGTGGGGCGGTTTGGACTAGATGACCTGAAAGGTCCCTTCCAACTCTGTTAATCTCTCTCTCTCTCTCTCTCCCTCCTCCTCATTTCTTTCCAATATGTAGAAACTGGGAGTGAAACTTTCCAGAGGTTGTTGAGCCTCTTGGGGGACATGGTCACCCTCAAGGGCTGGACCGGCTACCGAGGAGGATTGGACACCAAAAGTAAGTGGACGCTTGGTATTCTGTGCTTCTACTCAGAGAAGTGTGGTGGGGGGAGGGGCACACTATTTTGTAGTGGGGGAGGGAGGCCTTTGGAGGACTCTATTCCAAAAGCCCAACAGAGGCAGGATAAAGAGAGAGAGGGACCAGTGCAAATCAACTTCAAATGATGACATTGAGTTGAGCTTTCATTACCTTTCAAACACTGCAGAATCCTGGGAACTGAAGTCCACATCTCTTAAAAGTGGCTAGCTTCAAAAAATCCTCGAAAAATCAACCCACCCAAAATGTTATTTTTCTGCCATTTTTTATTTTTTTTTATTGGCAGATGACACAACAGGGATTTCTTCCATCTACACCGTCTACCAAGGGCATGAGATCATGTTCCACGTCTCCACCATGCTTCCATACTCAAAGGAGAACAAACAGCAAGTGTGTGGTTTTCCGTGTTGGTTGGTTTGCAAACCGCAATCACCGGGAAGGGAAGGGCGGAGCATTGAACCGCGTTTCGGCAATATCCGACATCATTACGGCAACAGGGGTTGGCAAGGCCAAGTGCAGTGAAGAACAGCTCAATTGGTTAAATAATCTTGAGCTAAGGCAAGGAAAGGGAGATTTTTGCCTTCTGGTCCATTTAATGTATACCATTACGAAGCTATCTTTCCATATTAGGTGGGAAGCGCAGGAAGTGAAAACCGAGAGCACCACTGGGAGGGAATCCAATGCTGAGATCTATTGGATTCTCCTTTTGCAGGTAGAAAGGAAGAGGCACATCGGAAATGACATTGTCACCATCGTGTTCCAGGAAGGAGAAGAAACTTCACCTGCTTTCAAACCATCCATGATCCGGTCTCACTTTACACGTATCTTTCCCTCGCTACTCGCTACTCATGTCTGCTGTTTTGTCCTTTAGAACAGGTTCAGTTTTAAACTTTCCCTCCATGGTTTAATGGTCAAACGCTGGAGAAATCAGGAGATTCAGGCAGTTCAAATGAGTGCAAAGATTTATCGTAAGCCTAACCTCCCTACAAGAATCTGACCAACTAACCGTCAAAAGAAATGATAAGAAAGGAATTCAAGGCAGGCTGGACTTAGATCTCTTGTGGGCGCACAGGGACTCGTGACTTATGACAAGCTTAACCCCTCCTTTGGGCTCAGCCTGGTCATCTCCTGCATCTCCTTCCTTGGTATCATGCGTGGAACACCAACACACGTTTTGAAACACACTATAATTGGAATTCAAACGGCTCTCAAGCGGGGTTCCGAACATGGAAGCTGTAATGAGTTAAATGACTGCCAAATAGGTTTTGTTGTACATTTGGGGACTTACCGGGACTGAGGCAGCTACACCCTGGCTATCTCGTGTTTTTACATTTGTAATCATCATCAGCTTGGGTGCCATTGGAGCGTAGTTTGATACCCGTGTTAAAAATTTCAGTGCCTTGCTGAATTGGATCTTTAATTTCAGCCAAAATTTGCTGACCTCTGGGGAGGAGAGCGGTTCCAAAATATAATCCCCTGGCTTAATGACTGGAAATTGGTATCCTTAACTAACCCTGCAGATATTTTTGCCTTAGTGCGATATAATAAACAAAGCGATAGCTACAGGTAGGTGCTAACTCTGGTCCAACTACTCCTTCCTATAGCACTTAGACTTTATATAGCACTTCATGGTGCTTTACAGCCCTGTCTAAGCAGTTTATAGAGTCAGCTTCTTGCCCCCAACCATCTGGGTCCTCATTTTACCGACCTCGGAAGGAGGGGAGGCTGAGTCGATCTTGAGCTGGTCAGGATTGAACTGCTGGCAGTCAGCAGAATTAGCCTGCAGTTCTGCATTCCAGCCACTGGGGGGAGGGAAGGCAGAGCTGAACCAGACAGTTATAGACCTTCTTTTAGTGACCATCTGACGACACAACGGGGCTCAAAAAGTGACGGCGGCTGTTCCTCACATGTATGACTCTCAGAGCAGCATGAAATGTTGACTGTTTTTTTTAATAGGGTGGCAAATACGGACTTATTGGGGAATAATTCCAAGTCCCAAATCATCAGACTGTCGTTCTCCCTTTCTCTCCTTCCTGTCTCTCCCTCCTCTGTAGGCTGAAAATTTTTTCAGAAGAAAGTGTTCCTCTCTTTGGGCCTCCGCTTCCTTCCCCGCCGGTGTTCACCGACCACCAGGAATTCAGGGATTTCCTTCTGGTCAAATGTAAATATTAAAATGTTCCTCCTTTGCCGTCTTCAGCTTAATCTTGGCCTCAAGATCCTTCCCTGAAATTGGCCTACCCAAAGCCAGGCATTCATCCATCCGGCACCTTAGCAAGTTGATTGTCAGGGAAGAAGGAAATCCTTGCAGGAAATATTTGGCTGTGCGAAATATATGTACATATTCATCATTCCTAATCTTGTAGGATTCAGTGGAGGCAGCAGGAATGTATTTGAAGGGCTGCTTTTCAAGGAGAGCTCCAGCTAGCTCTCTTTCTATGACACTTGGCGTGTATATACTACTTTAAGTAGAAGGTATTTGTAGTTTGAGGTTGAATTTGTAGGTACTCTCTGAGCTGGGTGGTTTTCTTGCAGACGTTTCATGACCCAGCTAGGTAACGCCATCAGTGCTAGAAGGGAGTGGGGTTTGCTCCCAGCTTACTTTCATTTGCCACTTGTATATAAACAGAGAGCAAACTCATTCCCTTCTGGCCCTGATGACGTTATCTAGTTGGGTCATGAGAACAACCAAGTTCAGAGAAGCACCAAGGACCCCACCTACTGCTTTTTCTAGGGGAACAGAAGGCCGCTCACCTAATTTTGCAAACGAAACGTGCAAAATAGGTTCCACTGAGAGGGATGGACCCAAAGAAATCCAGGGAACTTTCCTACCTGAGTAGGAGGCTGGACCAGAAAGCCTTCAAGGATCCCTCCCAACTCTCTTGTTCTCTTATTCGCTCGCCTCCTTCTCTCTTGTGCAGTGATCAATGGGGAGAAAGCCACTTTGGAAACTCCCACCTTTGCTCAAAAGCGACAACGAACAATCGACATGCTAATCCGCTCCTTGTACCAGGACCTCATGCCCGACATGCACAAGGTAAGCTCTCCCCTGCCTGGTGTGGAGCAACCTGAGGTTATCCAGCCCGACCTCCTGCGTTGGAAACCTCCATCTTGGAAGCGCCCAGCCTCTCCAAGGGGAGTCAGCCCCTTTCTTCAACGCCCGGCTGTGGTGGTTGGTTGTGTCTCTTTCTAGAACATGCTGAACAGGAGATCCTTCAGCGACGTCTTGCCCGAGTCCCCCAAATCGGCCCGGAAGAAAGAAGAAGCTCGCCAGGCGGAATTTGTCCGGTTTGGGCAGGTGGGTGTTTATGGGGGAGCCGGTGGGGTGGGTTGTTATCAGGGGTAGGACCAGAGGTGGGATTCAGCCGGCTCTGACCAGTTCTGGAGAACCCGTAGCGGAAATGTGGAGTAGTCCAGAGAACCGGCAAATCCCACCTCTGGGTGTCAACAATCACATCCTCCAATGAAGGGTTTTCCCGGGCGGAAGATCTGGTAGCCTAGCTACAGTTTTTGTAAGATAAGCATGGAATGTACTTCCGGATTTAAACTGCTGTTCTGCTCCTTCAGATCCCCCTCCCCCCTGTTTATGGCAACTCGAAAACAGGCCTAGGAATGTTTTATGAGTTAACAACAGGATTAATATCAACCACCTGGGGTAAAAACCATACAGGAAACACGGCCAGACCGGCTAAATTCTACTTTATTGCAAGGCTACCTTAAGAGAATATGATGATGATGATGATGATTCCTTTCTTCCTTCGAAGGCCCTCAAACTGAAAACCATTGTGAGGGGGGACGCCCCAACTATTTTAGCCGCGACCAGCCTCTGCAAAAAAGAGGTGAGTGAACCATTTGTGGGCGGTGGGGGCGAACCTTTGCAAGGAGGAAGACGGGTTGCCTTCAAATAGGATCGACCTGCTTTCGGTACAGACCCCGTTGGATCCTTTGTACAGTTCGAAGCAATGCTGCTGTGAAAACGTTGCCCGGGGTGAAGATTTTGCTCTTAACACACCAGCGTCCCCTTTTCGTTTTCAATTTGAGGAATTTTGGGCGGTGGGGACATGGGACACTGGTGGATTTTTGTTATTCCTCAGTAGTCAGGAGGGTGAAGAAGTCTAAAGCAATACGCTGCCTTAATTCCCAATTTGCCCTTTCTCTCTCTCTCTCTCTCTGTGTGTCTCTCTTATCTCTTTCTAACTCTCTCTTTCTCTCCCTCTCTTTGTCTTTCTTTCTCGTATATTTGTCTTTCCACCTCTCTCTCTCTCTCTCTGTATTTTATCTTTGACTTTCTCTGCCTCTGCCTCTCTTTATGTCTTTCTCTCCCTCTCTCTTTCTGTCTGTCTGTCTGTCTGTCTCTCTCTTTGTGTTTCTTTTTCTTTCTCTCTGTCTCTCTCTTTCTGTCTTTTTCTTTCTATCTACCTTGCCGTCTCTCTGTCTCTCTCTTTCTCCTCCCTCTCCCTCTCTCTCTCTCTCTCTCTCTCTGTGTGTCTTTCTTTCTCTTTCTGTGTTTTATCTCCTTGCTGTCTCTCTGCCTCTCTCTTTCTCTCTCTCTCTGTCTATCAACTCACCACCCACAATTGTCGTCTTCTGCAGCCCTGGGAGTCGCAATGCTTCTGCAGCAATTTCCCGCATGAAGTTGTTTGTGCGGATTCCTGGGGACAGTCCCTGCTTGTCTCAACAGACGTTGGTGTCTTTCTCTTAGACGGTGAGTTGTGAGCGTGTCTGCTCCAGGCCTCTTCTCATTCCCCCTCATAGAGAAAGAAATGGATTTTAGCTGAATTTCCGCTTTCATCCAGAGCTCTCAGCAAAAACCTTTCTGGGAAGGTTTTTCATTCTCATTTAGAGAACTGCTTTCCTTTCAGCCTATTTCCTGAAAATAGAAGGGCCAATCTTTGGCCTCAACCTCATGTAGAAATCGATCCTTCCGCTTCGTGCCTTTTTAAAAAAGAAGAAAGGAAAGGAAAGATGTTAGGGACCTTTTGCTATACAAAAGACACTCAATCACTTTATGAAATGGGTTTTTTTCTTCCTTTGTGTGTGTGTGACATTTAACTTGATTGTCCATAATATCAAATAAACAACATGCTCAAATGCTCTCTAAACTTGGTTGTTTTCTTGCAGACGTTTCACGACCCAACTAGGTAGCATATTACAGGCAAACCCCACTCCCTTCTGTCACTGATGATATTATCTAGTTGGGCAATGAAACGTCCGCAGGAGAAACAGCCCAGCGTAGAGAGCACAGAGGAGGCCATGCACCCTGTTGTCGCACAGATCTTCCAGAGGTTTCAATGCTTTGCAACCTTCCCTTTCCAGATGGACAGCCTCCCATCCCAGTGTTTGATAAAACATTACAGATCAAACAGATGCACGTACTGGAAACGTTGGACCTTCTAATCACCAGAGCAGACAAAGGTAAGAAGCACCCCGAGCTGTTGGGGAGAACAGTAATTCCTCAGCCATCCTAAGACCAGCGCTAAGCAACGGAGCTGAATCGGAGAAGTGGATTATCTAGCCTGCACCTAGGAGGTTTGGTTCTTGCGTTGCACTTTGTGCCGGCTGTCCTTCTGCAGATGAAAAGGTGGGATGCAAAGGAGGTAGCGATGCTGAAGATCGGGGCCATCGTGACGAGATAGGAAGCCCTCTTGACGTGGTTGTTTGCCCTTCCATCCACTAGGGAAGGAGACACGGCTTGTGGTGTTCAGGCTGAATGCCCTGTGGAAAGGCATCGAAGCAAAGTCGACCAGGAGCAAAAGCGATTGCCGAGAAAACAAGTTGGAGAAAACCAAAGGTATTGTGAAACCGTCTGATCAGAAATCCAACCATGATCTTGAATTAGTAGTTTTGGTCAAACCACGGGGCTGCCTGTTGGAGGGGCTGCCACAAGGGGGGGTGAACTATTTTCCAAAGCACCGAGAAGCAAGACGAGAAACAATGGATGGAAATTAACTTAAGGGGAGAAGCAACTAAGGAGAAAATTTATCAGCCAAAAGAACAGCTTCCCTCCAGAAGTTGTGGCTGCTTCACCACTGGAGGCTTCCAAGAAGAGACAGGACCACCTTTTATCTGTAATTGGGGGTTGGGCTAGAAGACCTCCAAGGTCTCTTCCAACTCTGTTATTCTATGTTCAGTTTTGAGGAGGAAGCATCTGGGTCTCACGGAAAGAAAACTTAAGCTGGAAGTCTTCAGCTTCTTCTCATGGTTGGGAGGTTCCCCTTTGGGCCTTCCCTGATGCCTCTGACTTCTCTCCTCCAGGCTGCCATCTCTACGCCATCAACACTCACCACAGCAACGAACTGCGGATCATCGCCGCAATTCGAAACAAGCTCCTTCTCGTCACCCGGAAGTTCAGGCGGTGGGAGACTCTGAATGGCGCCCCCCTGGCTTCCCCCCAGTCGGAATCCCCCGTAGAGGAGTTCCAATACATCAGGGTAGGTTTGAGTGCCAAGCTGAGAGGAAACCGTGGCAGACAAGTGAGGCCAGCATTTCATTCAGTGCTTTAATGGCCGGATGCCTTTCCTGTCACCAGCGCAGAGTTTTGTTCAGCAGATCTATTTTCTCTGCCTTGAGATGGAGAGAGCTCTTTCAATCTTTTGGAAAAGCCAAGAACGTTACAGACAATAAGAAATCCATCTAGGTGGACATCCTGAGCTGTTCTTCATATTCAGCATTTTTTTCCCTGTCTGTCCCTGCCAAAATTCACACTCCCTTTTTCCCGCCTTCTGATTTTTCTGGCGCAGGAAATCTGCTTATCTGACCCACCTGTGGTCATGACATTGGTGGATGGCCCCACCGGCGAAAACGACAACCTGATCTGCGTGGCTTACCGACACCAGTTTGACCTGGTCAGCGAGAGCACGGGGGAGTGTTACCGAATGCACCATGTTGACGCAAGCAGGGTAGGTCCAGTGGAGTCCGGCACACAGTTCAGAATTAGGGTTTGCATTGGAAGATCTTGTCTTCAGAATTGGAGGGGGAAGAAACTGAGGTATTTTTCCTCATTAGTCCAATAGTAATGGCAATATTGAGCCACGGTGGCGCAGTGGCTAGAGCGCAGTACTGCAGGCTCCTCCTGCTGACTGACGGCTGCCTGCAATTTGGCAGTTCGATTCTCACCAGGCTCCAGGTTGGCTCAGCCTTCCCTCCTTCCGAGGTGGGTCAAACGAAGACCCAGATTGTTGGGGGCCAGAGGCTGACTCTGTCAATCGCTTAGAGATGGCTGTAGAGCACGGTGAAGCGGTATATAAGTCTAAGGGCTACTGCTTTTGCATCCAGTTTTGGTCACCAAGATATAAAAACAGATGTTGGGATTCTAGAAAGGGGGCAGAGAAGAGCAACCAAGATGATTAGGGGACTGGAGGCTAAACTCCAAACTGCAGGGTAGATTAGCGCAGGCCGATTCCGGCTTCGGCAGGGGCACGAAACAATCGGGAAAGTCCATTCCATAGAGAGAGTGCAGCATCTGGAAGCGAGAGGGGAGAGTGGGAAGAGGAGAGTCAGCCTGGCCTCCAGTCCGCCCACCATCCTTGCCCATTATCATTTCAGGTTAATTTTGTTGCAGCTATTGATGTGTATGAAGATGGAGAAGCTGGCCTCCTTTTGTGCTACAATTGTAAGTACCGCTTCCCTCCCGCTATTCGTTTTTAGGCCAGGTCCAGTTGTGGGATTCAACCAGTTCGCACCTCTTTGACTGAACTGGTTGTTAAATTGCTGGCTCGCCCCTCCCCTCCCCTCCCAGGAGCCCCCGCGTACCCTGTTTCGGTAGGCGCCGGGAGGCCTTCGGTGACAACAGGGTGCAGCACGTCCTCCCGTTTTTGCTTCCAGGGGGGTTCAGGAGGCCGAGTGCTGCCTGTCACACACCACCCCTGGCCATGTCCACCCAGCTGATCATTAGGGCAGATAACCGGTTGTTAAATTATTCGAATCCCACCACCGGCCAGTTCTCTTCTTCTTCCTCTTCTCCCGCCGTTGTTTCTTCCTTTTCATCGTTGTTGCAGATGTTTGCTATTACCGCAAAGTGTGTCCCTTCAACGGGGGCACAGCTCTGGTCCAGCCCCTGGCCTCAGACTACCATTTCAGCTGGAACCAAGTTCCGTATGCGATCGGTAAGAAAACCAAGTGGCGGGTGACTTTCCACTGGGCCCTTGTCCAGAAGCGCATCTGTAGAGCTTGAGGAACGCCTGTCGCCTTCTGGGTTGCCTTCTCCATTAAGGACCTCTTCCATTGTCTCCTGCAGTTTGCGCCTTTCCTTACATCTTGGCCTTCACTACTGACTCCATCGAGATCCGGTTGGTGGTGAATGGGAACCTCGTTCATACCGCCGTGGTCCCAGCTTTGCAGCTGGTGGCATCGAGGGTAAGGAGAAAGGGCAGAACTTGACCTGCCACACCAGATTCTTTTTCCCCAGGAGGGTTGGCCTCCCCGTTTGGGGTGAGCTCTCAGGTGTTGGAATCTGCAATGATCTCTTCTTGCTTCTCCAGCCCATCTTGAATGAGTGAATCTAATCCTTCATTAAATTTCCAGCCGCTTCATTTGTACAACTCAAGACAGTTCTCAGTTATGAGGCCTCCTAAAGCAGAGCCTTTCTGAAGGCTTGGAACCCCTTCCCTCAAAATGTTTAAGGTCTGCATCGGCAGGGGGTTGGTCTAGAAGACCTCCAAGATCCCTTCGAAAGCCGTTATTCTGTTTGCATAGTGGACGAGAGGTTCCTTTATTGTAGAAACCTATAACGACATCTCCCATTCGCTCGGTGTTTGGAGACCCTTTTTTTCTCAGCCCCAGTTATGACAGCGCTTTCTGAAGAAGAGAGACCCCCGTTAGACAAGGGCTAGGAGAAGCTACCTTTGCTAACTCCGCCCACTTCTCCTTCCAGTCAGATATCTACTTCAGAGCCGCCACTGCAGTGAGCGAAGTGTCCAACAGCAGCTCGAAGGAGACCAGCTCCCCTGGGTCCCCTCAGACGCCTTCCGTCCCAGAAAATCTCATTTTCTCCCCCTCTGCAGCAGAAGGTAAGGAAATTGGGCTGAAGACCATCAAGTGGCTGATTGCTAAAGCACTGGTTCTTTCCAGCATCAATTCCAAATATTGGACTTTCTGTTTTACACCATCATAGAAGTTGGGCTGCCTCATGGAGGGATTGTCAACTAGTAAAGTATTCCTATGCCTGTTTTCAAGTTGCCATAAGTAGGAGGGGGGGAAAAACCCTGAAGGAGAAGTATGGCAATTAAAACCAGAAGTACATTCCACACTTATCTTACCAAGATTGTAGCCTAGGTTACCGGATCTTCTGCCTGTGAAAATCCTTCATTGGAGAATGTGATTGACGACACACCCAGGGGGGAAGGGGGAAACAGTGTCACAGGTGACCATAAATTACGTGTGATAGAGTTGGCTTCCTATGGGTCAATGCCGACACGTTGCTCCTAATAGATCTTTTGGAGCTTGGCTCGAGGCTCATGATTTAATTTGGGCAATCGCCGGAACCCTGACAGCAAGACAGATCAACATTCCTCCTGAGATATGCCTGTGGGTTGACTCTCCGGTCTTGAGCCATGTTGGATGCGGCCTCTCTTCTCTTCCTCCTCTCAGGTGAAGCTTTGTGCAGGAATATCTACAAAATCCCCCTCAGCAATCTGGTTGGCCGGAGCATCGAGCGCCCGCTCAAGTCTCCCATGGTGCCCAAAGTCATCACCACCCCAACGTCGGCCCCGCTTCCGGTGGCACCTTCCCTCTCCTTGTCGCGGATAGAGATCAAAGAGATTGCCAGCCGAACCCGCAAGGAATTGCTCGGTAAGGATTGCGGGAACTCCTTATTTTCTGAGTATCCACGAAAAAGACAAGGGGCCACCAACTTTGAGCCTGACCTCTGGAGGCAACTTCTGTTCCACTGGTTAATTGTCCTCACTGTCAGGAAGTTTCTCCCCTTGATGAGTTTCCATCTGTTGCTTCTTTTTCTTGTCCTCTGGTGGTTTGGAAAATAGGTTCACCCCCTTTTCAAATATTGCTATCATGTTACCCCTAGTCCTTATCACTGGCCAAACCCCAATCCTGCAACTGTTCTTCGTATGTTTTTGGTCTCTAGACTTTGAATCATCTTAGTTGCTCTTCTCTGCACTTTTTCCAAAGTCTCAACATCTTTATGGCAATGTGACCAAAACTGGATCTTGTATTCCAGGTGTGGCCTTACTAAGGTTTTATTTATATGTTGCTCTTTAAATCAGCCTCTTTAGTCAGAACCACAGTCCTAATTTAATTTTTAGAAAGGCAACAGGAAGTCAAGGATCTTTCTTGGCTTTCTAATTGGTACTCTGGTACTCAGTACCTCTATCCTGGTGAGCCTTGTTCTCTTTCTGGTTTCAAGATGTAGGGAAGCTTCTTCGTAAGACGGGCATCAGTGAGGCCTATCATTATTGTTTATTATTATTATTATTATCATCATCATCATCATCATCATCATTGGAAACATCTCCCAAGGATTGACGGATCTTCTTTCCTGGTTTCTCCAGGTCTCTTAAATGATCCTTCTTCAAAGTCCGAAGGTGGCCCAAAGCAGAAGAAGCTTCCATCAAAACAATCCGACCCCCCCAAACAGGGAACTCTACGGTCCTCCAGCAGCGACAAGTAAGCAGCAACCAACAGGAGAGAGAGAGAGTTGAGCTTGTAGCCTCACCACAGTTTCCCAAATTGCCTGATGGTTTGAAGCTGTAGAGGAGGGCTAGAAGTGTAAATTCATTGGGAGGATAACATTGGGTGCAATGCAGTCGTTCCATTCATGGTCCAAGGTATTTTCCTATATTCTTAGCTTGGAAGATGCATTCATCTCAAGCCCATTATTCTGACTTGACATTTCTGTGATGGCTAAAACCTTTCTAAGATCAAGAAAGGGAAGGGAAGGGAAGAGAAGAAGAAAGAATAGGGTAGGGTAGGTTACAGTAGAGTACAGTAGAGTAGAATATGAATTTAGAGTAGAGTAGAACAGAACAGAACAGAATAAAGTAGAATCTTTATTGTCACGTTAAATATACATTCATCACCATACATTAAAATGAAATTTCGTTGCATTTAGTTCTCAAAAGACAACCCTTGTGCCTATACCCACATACACACATATAGATGACACAGAGAAACATCACAGTCTAGTTCGTTTGAATACGTACATTATACATGGGGAAAAGAAAGGGAATCCTGCAAGTTAATAAGTGGGACGGCGGCCTAAGGAACAAAGCTGTTACAGAATCTCGCAGCCCTGCTATCGATACGCTTCAACACTTCCTCCCAGAGGGGGGGAGAAACAGAAACAGGCGGTGAAGATGATGACACTTTTCTACAACCCATCTTCCCGTTTCTCCTTTCCTCTCCCCAGGTTTGTTGTGACCTCCTTTGAGAGCACTTCTGAAGAGCCTCCCGTCTCTACCGGTTCTGACGTTGACCCTGTCCCACTGGAGGAGGAGGAAGAGAAGGAGAAGGAGGAGGAGGAGGGCCAGCCCAGCACTTGCTTCCAACTCGGGGCCTCCTTTGACGAAGGTGTCATTGACTTGAAGTGAAGACAGCCGGGGTGGCCCATCTTTGCACGCACTCCCCTCCCCACCCTCAGTTCTCTGCCATTGGTCCCCACCTCCCATTTTGTACAGCTCTGTTAAAACAGGATCCATCCCAGCCAAAAGTCCCAGTAATTTTAGAAGTGGTCACCATGTGCAATCCAAGAGGGGAACCCAGGGATCTAACTCCGGGTGCCAGAATTGTCTCTATCGATCGATCGATTGAATGAGAGGCCAGCTCTGGAGGCCTGAATTGTCTCCGTTGATTGAACAAGAAGCTTGGTGTGTGTGTGTGTGTGTGTGTGTGTGTGTGTGTGTGTGTGTGTGTTTGGTGACGAGAGTGTTCACCCAATTTTTTTTTTTTTTTTTTTGTGGTGGTGTTGGGAAAAAAATGCTTTGGGCAAAGGATCGGATAAGTTTTAATCAGTGAATTGATTCGACCTCTCTGTATTTTCACATGGCACGGGGATTTTGAGGAACAGACTGCTGACAGTTGCAGGGTGGGGCAAGTCCTGAAGCGCCCCTTCCTTCATGGCAACGGCCAACAGTCGCCTTCCCTTTCTCCATCGGCGCTGGAGGATGCTGATGACCTGGGCTATGTTGGAGATTGTCCCCAGATTAGGAGATCGGAATGGAAAGAATGGAGAAGGGAAGTTCTCTGACATTTCTCCCCCTTTGACGCTAGATCCTGGATCCGTGCTGAGGATGGCCTCCATCTTCCTGGTCTGAAACAGTAGCTGGCCGGGGGTCCTGCTTCTTCCGGGGTCTTGGCTTACATTCCATCTTCGTTTTTAATTACGTAGCTGCAGAGAAGCAGCGAGTCATTGCAAAACTAATTTCTGATGGGGTCAGAAGGGTCCAGCCATCTCTATTCAGCCGATTGCTTTGGCACACTCGATTCGATTGTGCATTCTTGAAGTAGGTTTTTGGTCCGATCCAGGGAGGGACGGACGTACCAAAAAGAAATGTGGAATTCTTTCATTTAACGTGTGACAGAATAACTAGAGTTGGAAGGGACCTTGGAGGTCTTCTAGTCCAGCCCCCTGCTCAAGCAGGAGGTCCTATCCCATTTCAGACAAAGGGTTGCCTAATCTCTTCTTGAAATCCTCCAATGGTGGAGCACCCACAGTTTAATTTCCCACCCCAAATATATATATATATATATATATATATACGTCCTGTCCACTTAACAACGGTTTCTTCTACTTAGGAAAAAAGAAAATCTTGCTGGGGAACCTGATCCATTGCAAAACAAAAAAACAAACAAACATGGCAGTTCTATTAAACCATAAGCTTTGTACTTGTACTGAACACATTTTAGGTTTTAGGGTGGAGGTTTTATGCAGAAAAAGAGGAAGCTATAACAGAAAAGCATCAGAAAGAGCAAAGAAGAATCTTCTAGTCTAACTACATAAAAATTCCATTATAAAGGAGTAACTTATAATTCTTTCCTCTCACTTCCATTCCCCGCCATTCAGCTAGAACCGAAGAAGCTTCTTGGATGAGAAGCAATACGTCTTCAGGGGGGTGGGGGTGGAAAACCAACAGGAAAGTCCAGTTGCCTCTTGGAAAAGCACCTTTGGTTCAGACCCCCCCCCCCCCCCCAGATCTCCATCTGAAGAGTCAGTAGCCCCAGGAGAGGAAGGTTGGCACCTGGCAGCTGTCTTCGGCTCCAACGCCAACGTTTCCTTGCCAGGTTCACCAACTGGACTCCCAATTCATCCTCCCTTGCATGAATAAACCCCTCTCTGCTAGTTTATTTATGTGTATTTATTAATTTATTTATCCCCCTCCCCACTCACGGGGTCTGCAGAGCCAGCAATACTTTCAATGCCCTTTGGTTCGCTTTGGACCACGGAAGATGGCAGGATGTCTCCCCAAAAAATTCATTTTAGAACCAGATCTTTGTCTTAGCTTCCATGAATGTCTGAATACAGAACAGAATACCGAATAACGGAGTTGGAAGGGGTCTTGGAGGTCTTCTAGTCCAACCCCCTGCTCAGGCAGGAAAACCCTATTCCATTTCAGACAAAGGGCTGTCCAACCTCTTAAAAACTTCCAGTGTTGGAACATTCCCAACTTCTGGAGACAATTTGTTCCACTGATGAATTGTCCCAACTGTCAGGAAGTTCTTGGTTGCTTCTCTCCTTGGTCAGTTTCCACCCGTTGCTTCTTGTCCTCCATTCAGGTGCTTTGGAGAATAGCTTGACTCCCTCTTCTTTGGGGCAACCCCTGAGATACTGCTATGAATAGTCCTTCTTTTCATTAAACTAGCCATGCCCAGTTCCTGCAGCTGTTCTTATGTTTCATCCTCCAGTCCCCTAGTCCTCTTGGTTGCTCTTCTCTGCACTCTTTCTAGAGTCTCAACAGTTGTCTGTTTTCCTTCCTTCCTGGCAACATCTGAGATTAGAACGAGGCAGGTCTAGGAAGGGATTCCCGCCTCTGGGAGTGGCAATCTCCAATTTGCAACCCTTCCTGGTGGATCCTCCACTCCGCCTTCGATCTCCTACCTCCTTTACCCACCAAGTTTCCATGATCCAGCCCCTCTGCCTTCGCCTAAATTGCCTTATGTTTTGCTCATCGGACAGAGCAGTTAAATCCATCTCGGCTGGGGATGGTTCTATAGAACAAAACCCTTTGGACTGTTTCGCCTGCCCCACTCTTCCCAGGCGGGGGCGGGAGGGAGGCAAGGCCTCGGCTAGACAAAACCTTGCCCCCTTGGCTGGTGGGAAATGAACTGCTGGGTTTCTAGAGTTCCATAGAAGAGAGTGATTGGGTTGGGTTTGCAGGGAAACCTTCCAAGAAAGACAGCGGGAAAAGGAAGGATCCATCAAGCCACCAGCTGATGGATGCAGATTTCCTTTCCTGGGCAGGCAGCGGCCCCTTCCCCCCATGTCTCACAAAGGTGGGGTCCCCCAAAACAGCCAGTTGGCAAGTCGAGGCCCAGCGCACAACGAAATTCGGCCATTGCGTCCCAAACCGATTCTAGTTTCTAATCGGTGGTGCTGAACCACGCACACCCCTTCCCCTTGCCGAAGGAGTCAGCTGGGGACGATGGGAGTTGGAATACAGCCCCTCAGAGAGAAAGGAGCTGCGATGAAGGAAAAGAGAATGGCGCACAGGCTCCGTAGGGCTGCCAAAATTTGAGCAGAAATAGACTGGGTGGCTTTTGGAATTTCTTTCGAAGGTGGCATCTCTTCCTTTTTGTTTTCACACCTTCGTGTCTTGGCTGGAGAGGAGGCACTTGCGTTTCTACTTCGGTGAAAATGATCGTTTTCTCTCCCCCTCATTCTCTCTGCTGTAAACTCTTGGATTCCAAAAGAGCATTTTTATTTTTTTATTTCTTTAATTTGGGAAAAGCAGGGTGTAATCTTGTTGCTGCTGCAAAATCTCGTGGAGAGTGGGAAGGGCAGGACGCTTGTTGTACGTTAGCCAAATAATTCCTACGTATCGTTCCCATTTTGCTGAGGGGGCTTGTGCACAGTTGTACAATCCAAAGTCTTCCAGGCAGGGCTGGTGAAGGTGGTCCCGGTGCACACCGAAGGAAGGGCCAGCGGGCTTTGAAACACTCTTACAACTGTTCCGACTCTACAAGAGTCGATTTGTAGCTCTGTGGGGTCCTTGGGGCTCTCCAAGCTCGGTGGTTTTCTTGCAGACATTTCATGACCCAGCTAGGTAACAACATCAGTGCAAACCCCACCCCTTTCTAAGCACTGTTGACATTACCTAGCTGGGCCACGAAACGTCTGCAAGAAAACCACCCAGCTCGGAAAGCCCCAAGAACCCCACAGTTTCAACTCGTCTTTGCTGTCTTCAATTTTGTTTGTTTTTGTGCCTTTGAGTCGGCCTTGACTCCCGGAAACTGCCGGGAGAAATCCGGGCGGTTTTCTCGGCCAACTGTCAGAACTGCCCCCTTGGTCCCAGGGCCACGAGAAAGTCACCCAGTTGGCTCTGCGTCTAAGGCAGCCCAGAACTCGCAGCTTCCTGGTTTTCTAGCCTGATGCCTGACCTGCTGCTCCAAACTGGCTCTCCATTGCTGGTGCTCAGCACCTAACCGCAAATTTGCCCGGCTTTTTTTGTATGTTCCCCCCCCCCCCAAAAAAGAGGCCCTCTTGTGATGCTCCCAATTCAAATGTTGCCTTGAAGCTGAGTCTCCCAATGGAAAAAAAAACCCCCCCCCCCCCCCGCTAATGCTCCCCCTTGCCATTTCCATGGTGAAACACGGTGCTGTATTTGTGTGATGTTTTCTCTCCCCCCTTTTGAATTGCAATGGTAGTAGAAATGCACCCATCCAGTATGGGGGTTTGTTTCCCTCCCTCCCAAAGGGCAATTTTGGAAATCACAGAAACCAAACGCAAAGGAGGAAAACCGGTTCAATTTTTACCTTTTTTCCCCTGAAAGGGAAAAAAAAAAAGATTCTGTTTAATATGCTCCGGGCCGCGATTAATTTGGATTTTCCTACGGGCAACTCTTGTGGAGAACGAAGCCTCTTAGGTGAAACTTGGTGGTCTGCGCTCATCCAGCCGCAAAATCTATGGACCGCCGGGTTTTTCTGCTGAAAGGAGACCAGGATTAAAATCCACGGGGAGAGGGGGGGCTTTGGACTTGATGCGCTGCTGAAATTCCTTTCCTATATGCCAGGCAGGTTTTCTGCTGGTACCCAGAGCTGTGTTTGCAATTTGTATGTGACGGTTCATGGCTCCTGAGTCCGTCACTGAAAGACCGTCCAGTCAGGGGGGTGTGGTTCTTAAACAAGGGTGATCTGGAAGCAAAGGGTCAATGGCCAGAATCTTCTGGCTCAAGAGAACATTTTTCTTACAGCTTAAACATCATGGGGTGGGGTGTAGAATTTACTATACTCATTGACTACGTTTCCCCTTCGCCTCCCAACAAACGCTCCTACTCTCGAACAACAAAACCAGGTTAGCCTTCTCTGGCCTGGCACCTGTTCAAGTTACAAGCCTCTTCCCTTTCAGCACCGGCCCATGCTGGTTGGGGATGCTGGGAGTTGTAGTCTTCAGAGAGAGGAGGGGAGATGATGGGAGGCCGATCTGTTTTTTTTTGTTGTTGTTGTTCATTTGTTTCTGTCTCCCTTCTTGAGCCGAAGTCTTGGAAAGGCTTAGCAGCATTTTTCCTGCCCGGTTGAACTTCCACGGTTGCAAATAAAAGAAGGAAGAAGAAGAAGAAGAAAACAGCACCTGGGACAACGAACCACCTTTGCCCAGAAAACGTGGCAAACGTTTTGCCTCTTTCAAGAT